GGTTCTTTTCCTGTGTTTTTTAACACCTGGAGTTTGTTAGTGGTCCAGGATGCTGTCTTGGCATGCTGCTTTACCGTGCACATTCAGCTGTCATTGATGGAATGGTCTTTAGCCCATGGATGCTTGTGTGTGAGTTTGAGATAGTCTTCACCTGCAGCCCTAGCTGACCTGCCCCTTACCAGGTACTCAGGTTAGCAATGAACTCACATGGACCTTTCTGCCTTAGCCTCCCCAAATTCTGGGATTACAGGGGTAAGCCATCATGTCCGACTCATCTGGGGGCATTTCTGCTGAGATCCTGGGTCTTGTTTGATCCTTCTACTTCAGCTGGCTTCTTTTAATCGCATTCTGGCAAGAAAAAGAACCCTACCCCTGGTAACTAGCAAGAAGGCATAAGAACCAAAGTTTCCCACTAGGCCACCACTACCATTTAAGGTGGGAAGGGATTCCTGACTTTTGCTGGGCAGGGGTCAGCCTTCCTGCTGCCCACCATACCTCTGCTGACATATACTGGAAGAAGCAGAGGCAGGAGTGTGCCATCCTGCCCCTCATTGCCTTCTATGACTCCATGAGGAAGGTAGTTTCATCAGCTTTGGGTCAGCTGGCAAAATCCCTGGCTCCCCACTGATGTCTCCAAGGGGGATTCATGGGGTGTTTGTTCTATCTGGAAAAGTCCAAGTCCACACATCCCACACGGTCTTGACTGCACGGAATGGGAGGGCTTGCTGCTGACCTGTGAATGGGGCTCCCATTCAGCAAGTGGGGAAGCCAGGGGCCTCAGCCAGGTCTAAGTAATAATAGCTCAGCTGCATCCTCAACCCTCTCCTTTCCATGCTGCCCAGGGTGGAGAACCACAGGGATCCCCTGAATGGGGGCAGCCAGGTGACTGGAACAGCACCTTAACATGTTCATCTCCATTAGCAACTGGTGAGAGTCAGTGTTAATTGTCAACCTGACAGGAGCTGGAATCACCATGGAGACAGCCTCTAGGCATTCCCATGATGAGTGTCTCGGTTCCTGGACACGCCTGTGAGGAACTATGTTAAGTCACTTGAGGTGAGAGGTCCAGGCATTGGTGGTGATAGAGTTCCCTGGTAGCGAGGCAAGAAGGGGGTTCTGAACTGAATGAGCAAATGAGTTAACTCAGAGAAGATGAAAGCTGGTTAAAAGCAGATAAAAAGGAAAAAAAAGAGCAGATAAGAAGACACTGTTCCCCTCATGGGCTGGGAGTGGGGCTCAGGCTATACCCCATCAACTCTTATCTTTCAGTCCGTCTTCTCCAGGCCCCCAGGTACCCGCACAGGGCACAGCTTGAAGCCTCTGGGCCTGGAAACTTCTGGTGTCTGCAGTTCACACTGCTGAGCTGGTCCAGGGAAGTATGGGGGTGGCTGGCCTGGTTTCACAGCTAAGAGCACAGTGGACACTTGGGGACGAGAGAGAAGGTGGTGTGGCTGTCCACCTCCTCCATCCCCTGGGAGACACAAAGGCATGCTGGAGAGTAGACCTGAAGGCACCTGTCTACCACTCGGCAATGGACCCCAGGCCCTGCACAGAGAGACCATAGCTGAGCACCAAGGGAAGCCTCCCACAGACAGCTGCAGACTGAGGGCAGACTGTTCGACACAGGGCACCAATGCCTACCCCAGGCTACCCTCTGAGCCCAAGAGCATTAGGAGCAAAATGGCTGCAGGGTCTCGGGGCTCCAAGGTGCAGCCATCAGGACATCCGTGGGCAGCTGCAGCCCTTTCGCTGTACTGATCCTAGGCAAAAGGAGGACAGAGTTTCAGCTGACCACAGCCTCTGGGAAGAACACCAGCCAATCCAGCAAAACCCCCACAGTGGCCTTGGGGCCCTCAGGCAATCCTGGAGTACTGCAGCAGAGGTACCTGCTGGGACCAGCCTGCAGCATGGGTGTCCAGCAGTGAGGTTCCTGCTCCCATGGGGTCAGGGAGATGGGAAAGGAAGGAAAGGCAGTAGCGGGGCATGGGACAAGGGGCTCGTGGTAGAGAGTCACCTCCGGGCCAGGAGACAAACGTTTTAGGGACCCAACTCACTCTTCTCCTGTGTGGCATGGCTGAACTATTTAGCCTCTTTGGGTCTTTCGTGTGTGTGTGTGTGTGTGTGTGTGTGTGTGTGTGTGTGTGTGTATTTGTGACAAGATCTCAAATGTAGCCCAGGCTGGCCTCAAGTTCGTAATCCTCCTGGCACCAAGAATGTACCACTAGGGCTGGCTGTTCTTGTTTACAGTCTGCAGAGACGGCCTGGAATGGGGCTTGCTTCTCCCCTTCCCCAGTATTTCAGAGAAGCCAGTGTTTGCTCAGGATGACATCTGCACTCTCTTGGCCTTCCCAGCAGCATCGGCCAGGGGAGGCAATGGGACACAGTGGAGAATGCGGAGAGTTGGAGGGCAGAGGTCAGTCACTCTTGGTCCTGCTTGAGCTACAATGTCGTCACCTAACACAACCAGTTAGGCGCAGTGCAGGCAGATCTTCCAACAAGCCACAAGCCAGAGACCTGCACTGCCATGCGACAGTCTAAACTCTGCAGCTTTTAGAAAGCCACCAGTTGAGGTTCAGGCAGTGGGCAGCCTCTGAGGCTAACTGTGGGTCTCCTTAGGGACACACACTGTTACTTCCTTTCTGATCTCACAAGCGGGGCCAGCGACTTCTTGGGAGGCAAAGGCAGGCTGAGGGGGGCACTCACCATGTCTGGTCTGGAGCTGCTGGTCCACTCAGCTCTCACTCTACCCAGCCTTTGCTCCCAATTGGATGCCCACCACTGTCTTGCCCTGCATGTTCTGGGTGGGTTAAAGGGAAGTGAGACAGCCAAAGAGAAAAGCATCTTGGCATGCTCCCCCAAATGTGGACTGCTGGACATCTGGGTTAGGGACAATTGAATGCTGATGGCGGGGGGTCCTTCATGGCTACCGTTGTTCACAGAACATCAGTCTTGTACTGAGGCTGACCTCACACATACCAACAAGCCTGCCAAGCCTGAGTGATTATCTCAGCCTGGGTGACCCCCAAAGCAAGGCCTCTTCTTTGCTTCTGTCTATGAGAGCTGCTAACAAGGGCCACAACCCCTGCTCCTGGCCTTGACCCACACACAGAGTGCATATAGTGACACAGGACCTCACACACCAGGCTGTGGTTCCCACCCGAGTCTCTTGTAATGCTTGATCATGGGACATTGTCCCTAGGGACCAGCCACCACACACAGGTATCCTCCAGAGAATTCTCAGCAGCCCGCAATGCTCAGTGTCCCAGGGTCCTCAGTCTTATTCTTCCTGATGGACTTCAAGCTGGAGGCCTGGACCTCCTCACTCAAAGTGGGTCTCTTCCACCCTGAAGTGAGCCAGGGAGGCTTAGGCAAGAATTTTAACAAATGGCCTCTCATCTATGAAGCAGAAGATATGGCCTCCTTTGGCGTTAGTGGGGCCCCACAGACAAGGAATGAGAAACGGGGCTGTCTGTCCTGCAGGCCTCTGTGACAAGAAGAGATGTGCTCGCCCTAATCCAGGCCTCGTGGTAGGTAGCTTTAATCAGCCCTGTGGAATCTGGTGCTATATCGGAAGCAGTAAGGGGAAAGGAGCCAGGTCAGAGAGAAACACAAGGCCCATGGTCAAAAACAAAAGCAGGCTCAGCTTGGGAGCCCAGTGCTACAGTGGAAGCCCTGGTTCCCACATAGGCAGCGGGAGGTCACTGTTCATGTGACCCAGGCTGCTCATGGCCTTGGTGGTAGCAGTCTAAGAAGTCTGTGGAATGCAGGTAAGGAACACCATGTCTAGAACACCTGCCGTTCATCACCAGTGGCCACCAGACCACTGGACGCAGGTCCCTTCTGCTACCAGGGCTGTGTTCCTCAGGCAGGTTTCTTGAGTTCTCTGAATCTCCTGAAGTCAACTGTCCCAGAGCCCTGTTGGGACCCTTGGGACCTGAGCCACTACTGCCGCATCTCCAGCACCATGGAATAGCCACTGTGTGCCCAGAGTCACAGTGCTCAGGAAATAAGCTGAATAAGGCAGCCAACAAGTGTCCCCAGCCACCAGCACAAGGTCTAGACAGCCAGGCCAGCAACACTGTGGGCAAACACTCTCTGTCTGTTAACAGCTGGCTCCACCATTGTCGCCTGTGTCCTTGTGATCCCTCCACTCCCCATGGAAGGAATGAGACTAGGGTGCAACCCTTTGGCCTCTTCTCATTTCCCCAGGAAGTAAACCATTGGCTCACAGGTGGGTCCCAGAAGCCAACAAAACCACTCCCATTCCCTCCCCACCCCACCCCTGCTTCCTACCCCTTCCCATCCCCCATCCTGCCCTTTTCAATTGCCGTACATTTATCTGTAAGGTGTTCTGGAGCGGTGCTTGGCGACCATCTTCAGCACCACTGGGAGGAAAGCTGTGATAGACTGAGGAAGGGGGAGAGAAGGTTGGGTCCCCGAGGAAGTCACCAGATCTGGAGCCAGCTGTGCCTGAAACAGGACCTGCAGGGGCTCACCCAGCATGCGGTCCACCTAGACACTTGGGACTCACTCCTAGCTCCAGAGGATAGCCTGCTTAAGCTGAACCGCTACTCTCGAGCCACTCCCCAATTGCTGTGACCGTTCAAAAGAAAGAAAAGGACCTGTGCCCATCAGAGGGAAGTTAAGAACCTCAGCCCATGCTGGAAAAAGAGAGGCCTCATCTCTGCAAGACAGGGACACACTGACCATGTGGAAGTTGCTTACTACCGCTGAGTCCCATGGTCTCTCTGCTTAGACTGATGGAGCAGGATATTGTCACAACCCAGAGTTCCAGATAGTTGTATGTGCCCATGCACACAGCCCCCTTCCCCACCCCCATCCCATACACCACCCACATGCTTGCTTCTGATTTAAACCAATGAGTAAGCACCCTTGTTCTTGTCAGCCTGGGCTTCTGCCATTCACAAGCCAAAGGGTCCTGACACACTCCTATTCATCATTACTCAGCCTCTGGTACCTGGAGGTCAAAGGTTACTTACCAGAAGGACCACCCATAATCCCAAGAATGAGGTCTCCAGTCTTCAGGGCCAAGGCTCACGGTGACCTGGAACACCTGTGTGTACATCATGTGCGCGACCATCCCCAGGAGGCCTGTGGAGCAGAGCAGGCGTCAGGATCCAGGGAAAGACCTTGCCCTCATCTCAAGCACCACCCCGCCCCCAGCCACTTGCCAGCTGGCCTGTTAGAACTAGGAGAGTTCCTGGACCCCAAGGAAGGGACCTTATAGGGAGCAGAGGGACATAAAAACAACTTCACAGATTTCTTTTTAACACAACCAGTATTTTGAAAAGGATGGGATAGTGTATAGTTTGAATCTTAAATGTCCCCATTGGAACGTCCCCACAGGTTCAAGTTTTGAACACTTGATCTTGATACAGCTTGTGGTGCTTTTATGGAAACTGTGGACACCTTAGGACATGCAACCCAACTGAAGGTAGCCAAGCTTGGATCCGTTATCCCTGCCTCTCAACCCGTCTCGTTCTCTGCCTCTTGGTCCGCCATGACGTAAGCAGTTGCTGTCATATCCTTGCTGCCGAGAATGAGCTGTACAGCCTGCCTCCCCCGCCAAGGCAGACTTAAAGCACAAACCCAAATAAATCCTTTTCCCTTAGGTTGCCGCTGCCAGGTATTGTGGTTACAGTGACCAAAAGTATCGCACGGCACAGCCGAATGTAGCTGGAGCAAATGTGCTGTGGGCTGTTTAACTCTGAACATGCGCAGTGTTGTGAGTCAGGATATTTCACCAGTTGGAGCACTCTGAGCTGGAGGATTACTGGGGTGGGCTCTTTTCTAACACACGTTTCTGTGTGGTTTGGGGCTAAGCTCTTGACCCCTCTGAATTTCCCATCTTTCCATCATCCTCAAGATGAGGATCGTGGCAAGTGTGGGCGATCTCAAGGGACTCAAGCAAGGGCAAGTGTTGGTATCTGATGCCCACCAGGCACAAATCCTTACAGCCACTGGGATTATTACAAAACTGAGCACGTCTCTTGGGGAGCAGGTTATAAACCATCATCGAAGGCCTCCTCTATGGCCAACTGTAAGATACGGACTCAGTCTTAAGAAGGGAGTGTCACGAGCAAGGATACAGAGTATAACAAAAGTTATATTACTATGATGAAGGTCATCACAAGGCTCACACTCTAAATTCCTAACTACTGTTCTAAGCTAATCTCCCCAGGCTGCTCACAGGTGTGATTATCTTAGTTGAAGGTCAGGTCCTGTCTCTAACAGAAGTCTCTGATTTGAGGGTCAAGATTCTAAGGAGACCCCCCCCAGCAGATCAAGGTGGGGTCTCTCCAAATGTGCAGAGCAGAGCCTTGCTCTTGGTCTCTTATATACTGTCCAGTGGGTGGCACGGGGTCTAGGACTAAATCTAGTTATCTTGAATGAGTGATGTCACTAAGTTCTGGTTATCGGGTACAGCTTTGGGTATAGTGGGGATCCTGACTAGGCTATTTTCAGACAAATCTAAAAGGCATAGTTTCCTATGCTCATTACAAGGAGACAGTCTTGATGAGAGGAAGAAAGGAGACCAACACATTCTAGTTCTCAGGTAACACCATCATTGAGGGAGTTGAGGCTGGAGTCCAGGGCAGGAACCTGGAAGCAGGAGCTGATGCAGGGGCAATGGATGAATGTTGCTTACTGGCTTGTTCCTCATGGCTTGCTCAGCCTGCTTTCTTTTAGCTCCCAGACCCAGGTATGGCACCTCTTACAGTAAGCTGGACCCACCCACATCAACCATTAATCAATAAAATAACCTGCAGACTTGCCTATAAGTCAATCAGATGGGGACACTTTCTCAGTTGAGGTTCCCCTTTCCCAGATGACTCTAGTTTGGGTCAAGCTGATAAAAACAAAACCCAAAACCCAAACCAGGACAAAACACTAACCAGATTCAGATTGGCTTGAATTTTGTTGTTGTGTGGTTTGTTTTGTTTTGCTATAGTTTTTGTGGTTGTTGTTAGCCTAAACCCTACCATACAGATCAGGGTAGCTTTGAATTTAATTAGTCTTATTCTGGGCTCACCACCACACCTAGTTCCAAAATACTCTTAAAAGCTTTCCTTGGTGTGTGTTGTATACACGCATTCACGCTCAACTATGTATGTATGTATGTGTTCAGATGTGTGAGTGTGGGCCCAGAGGCGTGTGGGTGTCCTCGATTGCTCTCCACCTTATGGAACCTGGTGCTCACCTATTGCGAAGACTAGCTGGCCAGTGAGCCCCACCGGGTCCCCCCTAGCAGTGGGATGGCAGGGTGCACCACCACACCCAGCTTTTTGTGTGAGTGCTGGTGATCTGCACCCGGGTGGTCACTCTTGCCTGGCAGACACTTTACTGGCAATCCTCCTCCCAGGGCTCCAGATAATCTTATGACTAGGCCTCTTCCCATGCTGCCTAGGCTGCTGCTGTCCCTCCTCTCACTGTCTCTCGCGCTTCGTCCTGCCGCTAAACAGGAGGCAAGAGAGACGTGGCGATAAGAGAAGAGACCATAGTGATGGCGGATGGAGTAAAGGGGGCAAGGAGATGGGAGGGGAGAGGATGCCTCATGCTTTGCTGTGTGGAAGTAAACATCTAACAGCAACAACAACAAAAAGGAAGGCAGAAAGGGAGGGAAAGTCCTACTTGTACTGTTTACAAGTCTCACAGCCAACCTTGAGCCACCAAGGTGAAGCCCCAAGAGTGGAGCAGAGGAGAGGTGTCCACTGTGGCCTCCTGAGCTGAGCCACAGCCCTCATGGGACCCCAGGGCTCTGAGACAGAGGAGTCCAATGGCAGGGGCAGAGTCCCCATGATGCTGAGCCCAGGCCTTACCAAAGCTTGATGCTGTAAAGTATTGAAGAGCTAACCATCCCATGGCCACACTGTGTGCTATTGTCCTACTGAGCTGGGCGTTGCTGTGTTTATTAACTGTTCCATCTTCCTCTCCTCTAAGTATGTGTGGCTGCATCATTCCTCAGTCTTGTGTGTGTGTGTGTGTGTGTGTGTGTGTGTGTGTGTGTGTGTGTTAGGGTGTAGAATGTGTGGTATGCATGTGTGGTGTGGTATATGTGTGTGTGTGGTATGTGATAGTCTATGTGTAGTGTATGTGTGTGTGTCTCTGGTATCTGTGTGTGTGTGTGTGGTGTGGTATGTGTATGTATGTGTTGTGTGTGGTGTGTGTGTGTGTGGTAGGTAGGGTGTAGAATGGGTGGTGTGTGTGTGGTAGGTAGGGCGTAGAATGTGTGGTGTGTGGTGTCTGTGTATGTAGTATGTAGTATATGTGTGTGGTGTGGTATGTGTTGTGGGTATGTGTATGGTATGTGTACTGTGTGGGCACACATGTGTGCAGGTTCTTCTGGAGGTTGAGGAGGATGCTGGGTGTCCTGGTTTACTGTTCTCTATCTTAGTCCTTTGGGGACATGGCCTGTTATCGAACTTGGAGCTGAGCCGGGAGCCAGCAAGTCCCAGCAGTTCTGTGTCTGTGCCCCCACAGAATTGGTTACAGGTGTGCACAGCCTCATATACAGTTTCTGGACTTTAGAGTTCAAGTCCTTGTCCTGGCTCCGCGGTACTTTCCTCGCTCACACGTCTCTCAGCCTAGCCCATGTGCATCCTCTAAACCCATACCTCAGGGACCTGGGAAGTGCTCAGTGGATCACATTCCTGCTATGCCAGTGTGAGGAGGTGGCATGCGTGCTTCTGCAAGTCCAGCACTGGGGCACGGGTGGAGAGAGATGATCCCTGAAACTCACTGGCCAGCCTGCTTAGCTGCTCCGTGAGAGACCCTGCCTCAAAAAAGAAAGGTGGAGGCCAATAGAGGAAGGCACAGAGATCAACCTTGGATCTCCAGGTGACATTCATACATGTAAACAGCCCACCGGAACACGTACATCTGACATACACACATTGTACCTACCACACCACAGACACACACTACACCCCCACACATACACCATGCCCCACAGACACACACCACACACATACTCTCATACATATACCATACACACTCATACAAACCACATACACACCACACCACACACACACATACACCACACACACACATACACCACACACACACATCATGCACACATACATACACCACTCACATACCATGCAACACACACACACACACACACACACACACACACACACAATCTCTCTGTGTCTTAGTAGAGGTTTTTTATGTACCCAGGCTACTAATCCTGGCTGCTGCATGGTTGGCAAGGCGACTGCTTTCTTTTTCAGTAATAGGTTTTGTTTTTCGGCAAAGTTTGATTGACAGACAGAGTGCTCATACCTTGCTCCTCAGCAGTCAGTTCCGTGCCCTCCTGTGAGGAGCCAGAGTCTGAGCACTGCTATTCACTGAAGCTCACGGCAAGCCCCGTGACTCCTGTTCGTGCAGCACACCCATGGGCCAGGCAACTCTATAGTGACACACATCCACCATGCAGGGCCCTCCAAAGGAGTTTCAAGTCTCTAAAACTCTCCTGGCTCTACCTGCTCACCTTCCTCCTACGCCCCCCCAAGCTGACTGTAGCCTCTAATCCGTTTTCCTGTCCCCACGGTCGTGTGGTGGTGCTGGAGTCAGTGAGTCTCCCCACTGGCTTGTCACCAAGCAATAAGCCCTTTAGGCCCCTCCATCCTGGGGATGGTCGCGCACATGATGTACATTCTCATGACTGGAATGTTTATTTGTTTTTATTTCTGAAGAAATGTCCAACAGACGGGAGGACCACAGTTTGTCCGTTAGTCTACAGAAGGAAGGCATCTTGGTTGCTCCAAGGTTTTGGCAATTTCCTTTTGCTTTACATTCCTGCAATGGGTCGAGTCATTTATCGGCCTTTTCTAGATTTGCATCTTGTCTCCTGTCTTCCCCAACACACTTATAGAAGTTTATGTCAGTTCACCCAGACTCTAGGGTTTAGCTGTTACACGGTGTGAGGTAAGCATCTGACTTCATTTCCTCAGCAACTGGCTTATTGTTTTGAACCCCGACAGGCGGTTCCTTCTTTCTCCACTGGTTTTAAATGATTCTTTTATGAGGGTTGAGGATACCGAAATTCCCAAAAACCCAAAATGCTCTGAAATCGCAAACTCCTTCAG